TACTGCAGAGTTGAAAAACTGTCTAAAGTCTTTCATCTTTAATAAAATGATCAGCGTTCTGCTCTACCAGGTGTAACAATTGAGTTTAACATCCAGGCATCCATGAAAACGGAATTTATGACATTTAACGGAGTTAGAAGTTAGCAGGGAGTTAGCTCGCTAGCTTCTATCTAAATACAATATAGCATGTCCTGACTGCGGGGTTTTGGAAACAAATTAAAACGTACAGCTCTGTTATCACTTCCAGCATAAATGAAGACAGAAAACTAAACAGCAGTGACGTTTGTAGGGTTACTGAAGTTGGGCTAGCTGGTATATAATGATGTGCTACGTGACCGCTAGCGACACAGCTATGTTAGCATAATATAAACAAGCTAACTTTTTTTCCACTCGATAAAAGTTAACGTGAGTGTTCTCGGTGGTCAGGAACAAATGTAATCGCATGGCAGGATGCTGTAAAAGGACCAAACTTCAGCCAGGAGAACAACTGAGATAATCCATCCACAATACGAGGTTAGTCATTCATATACTGCTGCATGGGCTGGGCTGTAGTTACATCCTAAGGTTTTAAAAACTGAGCTTAAATAAATGATTAGTGGTAATAAAAGCCGAGGGAGGTCAACAGTGATCACTGACTGTTTTAGGAGCTTTTTGAGATCAAATAGAAGAAAATACATAACATTAAACATGTTAACAACACAAAAGCCATATTAAACGCAGACTCTTTTTTTTTTTTTTTTTAAATTAAACTTTATTAAGAAACAGTATACAGAACATGTATACAATCAGAACAAAATTAACATATGCCAGGGGGTGTAGTTTAGGCCCAGACACGGCTAGTGACGTCAGACTGAACAATCGGATGGAGACAGTTGTCATGGTAACCAGAGTGTTTGTAGCAGCCTGACTATTTTTTAGCTTCAATGCTGAATTTAGATGTGTGTGTGTGTGTGTGTGTGTGCACATCTGTCGAGGCAAATATCGCAGAATTCATGTCTGAAATTCTGAAATATACTTTCAACATCTTCATGAGATCCACCTGGAAAATCCTTGTACACCTTTCCAGGCCTGGAAAACATTGAAACTTCATGGATGATTAACCTCCGTCTCTGATTTGTCTTCTTCTTCACTGCAGCAGCAAACCGCCTCGGCGCCCAGCCACCGAGCTCCTTGCCAAATGTAGCTGTCCCTCCTGCCCCAGTTACCATGGAAACGCATCGCCTTGACCAATGGGCAGATCAAACCAGGTGAAGGGGGGAGGGGGGAGGATGTTTTTGTGGGTTTGATGGAAGCGGTTTTGTTAAACAGAGACTGAGAGACACAGACAGGAAACAGGCTCAGGGTTCAGGTGCACTCCTGACACACCTGGAAAAGCTTGAACCTGCTTATTAAACAGCCACCAATCAACACGCTCAGAAGGACTCTTGGTTTTTTGGTTGTTCTCATTTATGTGACGCGTTCAGTGAGCACACATGGAGATCTGAAGGGATGCAGGGCCAGCACAAAAACAAATCTTTATTACGTTTTTCGTGTGTTTATTTAAGAAAGAAAGATAAAGATGTTTGATTATTCGCACAGATCCACGTGAACCGAATAATCAGCTGAAGCTGAAAATGGAGGCAAATAAAATCCTGTAAGTCACAAACTGACTCCAAGCTGGATTCAGATGTGCACAGAACTGGTTTGACTGCCGGGCTCTACACGGGCTTTCTCCTGGTTTAAAGAAGCCTTCAGAGGTGTCGACACACATTACTATCAGTGATCTGCATGTGGTCACCGTTTGGTCTGAGTCAGTTAAACCCACCTATGAAAAAACAAGCCAGTGATTTTCCTGCGGTGGAAGAGCAGAGTGAAGCCCTCGTGTGTTTTAGAGACAAAGGTTAGATTAGTTCCTGTGCAGTGATGCTTCATCTAAAGCAATGAAAGGTCATATGAGAGCATGTGGAGGTGCTGATTGGTCTGCTTGGTCAGTCGGAGTGCTGTGTGAAGACTGGAGCAGGTGGAGACATAAAGGAGCCTGGGAGCGTCTGAACGCTACAGCAGGTCTGCGTCGCTGCATTTGCATAATCATTCATAGTGTGTGTGTGTGGGGGGGTGTGCTACAGTTGATCCTGTATTCTGCAGCTTCTCCTCGCACGTTTCCATGGCAACGCCAGCAGTATCCATGAGAGGCACGCAGATGCTTTTGTGTGTTTATGGAGATGGCACTAAGCCAAAGCCGCCACCCACTGCTGATAACTGAAAAACCGCAATATTCCCAGAATGCACCAGTGTAGTGCATATTTTCATAACTCACCTGTGTAAACTCTGTCAAGGCAAGGTTGCATATCAGGGGCGTGGCCTCTTTGACTGACAGGTGGGTGTAGCTGCTAGCTCGTGCTAACTGGACTGTGGACGTGTTTGTGTTGCTGTGAGGTTTCTGTACGAACAGACGTCTTTTATTGTTATGAATGAGCAGGTGACTGTGACAGCCAAGGCCAAACTGCAGCCAAGTCCCTCTGTGAGTTACAGGCTGTGAGGTAACCCCATCCTGTTTGTGCACACTCTGCTTGAAACTAGTGTAGTTTTTATTTTTCCGCCTGTTTGATGAACTGCGTGCGGACAGCTCCACAGAGACTCATTGCTCAGTGATGTGATTGCTGTCTGCAGCAGAGCTGAAGCTGCTGTGTGGAGAATCGGGATATTTTCCACAGTCAGACGCGCTCTGAGCACTGAGAGGCTCGGGTCAGAGAGCTGCCCATCACGTCACATCATGTCTGACTGCACGGCACCTCGATCAGGAGACACACGAGGGGAAGGAAAGAGGCAAACAAACCTCTCCTATTGGTCAGTTCTTTGCTTTAATCTAAAGAGATTTACAGTATACCACAGTAATCCTTTGCTGATTACCATAGTATGCTGCATGTGTTACACATCACAAGACTCATTTTTACTTATCGCTTATTTATTTAACTGTGCTGCACAGCTACACTGAGGGTTCAAACAAGAGCATAAATTAACTTTGCTGAGCTCTGAAGACAGAAACCAAAGAAACATCAGAGCAGCGAGGGCGATCGAGGCTCAGTGCATACTGAGAGAGAGAGGAGGGGTGGGTTGGAGCAGAGAGGTAAAACCTGCCTAGCAACACGGATGCCTCTGCAGCCCAAACCCCCAGGGTCCACCTTTAATATTCCACCTTAAACTGCTGTGAGGTGATGAAACACCTATGCTGTTGTTTCCTCTGAGGAGGGGGGGTTGATCTCAGAGTTTCTTCTTATGGGGCAGCAGACCCCCACCCTCAAAAGCCAAAGACTTGTAAAAGGAGCAGGAGTTATTTAAAGAAACAAGCCGTGATACTTTTATGATGACTCGTGAACAGCCCCACAAACTACAGACAAAAATATGATGGGGGGGGGGCCTCAGCCCTCCCGCTGTGTGCCCCCTCCGGACCCGTGTGTGCTGGGGTCAGACCCGTGAACCCCGGCAGCTGGAGTGCTGCAGGTGGAGCGGGCTTCTTCTTTACCTGGATGTGACAAATACAGGATGAAGAGGAGGAGGTGGGGGTGACACAGATGGGGCAAGAACGAGGGCAACAAGTGAGATCATGGAGGGGGAGGGACGGTGACGTCAGCTACTCCACCAGGTGGTATTGTGTGAGAGGGGGTAACAATCTGAATTCCTCCGCTTCCCCGGGAGTGATGCATGCAGGGAAAAAAAGGCAGAGCTCCCTCCTCCTCCTCCTTCCTCCTCCATCTCTGCAGCAGCACACGGAGCTACAGCAGCAGGAGGAAGAGGAGGAGGAACAATAAGCTCAGAGGAGGCTCCGCAGTCCGGCGGCGTGTCGCAGTTTTAGCGGGAGCTGGTGAAGCGGCTGCCCGGAGGAGGAGGCAGGGGGCCGGCAGAGGGAACATGTCCTCCCCGCAGGTGTCCCGCCGGCAGTCGTGCTACCTGTGCGACCTGCCGCGCATGCCTTGGGCCATGATCTGGGACTTCACGGAGCCCGTGTGCCGCGGATGCGTCAACTATGAGGGCGCGGACCGGATCGAGTTCGTCATCGAGACTGCCCGCCACCTGAAGCGCGCTCACGGCTTCCAGGAGGCCCGCGGCGCCGCGGGAGCGCCCCCGCAGCAGCAGCCCGGGGCGACGAAGAGCCAGGCGGCCATACTAAGCGGCAAAGAGCCGCCGAGCCACCACCACCACCCGGCGGATGGTGCAGCCAAGCCCCAGCATCCCGGGACGGACCGCTACTCGCTGGGACGCTTCGACTACGGCGGCAGGCCGCCCACCGGACTTGGAGGACCGAACGGCTTCAAGGACGACGGCCCGCCGGAGCTGAACCGCCAGAGCCCGAACTCCCGCGGCAGGACCCCCGCCGGACCGCCGTCCGCCGCCGTGCCACCCAGCCTGCTGCCGCAGACGGGCCGGGCCGAGCCCGGGGCGAAGCGGCCCGCCTCGGTTTCCGCCGCCGACCCGGACCGGGAGCTGAAGGAAAAGCAGCGCAACGCGGAGGTGCTGGCAGAGTTGAGCGACAGCCTGCGGAGCCGCCAGGAAGAGTGGGCGGGCCGGCCGAAGGCCGTGCGCGACACGCTGCTTGCGCTCACCGGAAGCACGCCCTTCGACGTCCGCTTCAAGAAGGACCACGCGCTGTTGGGCCGCGTGTTCGCCTTCGACGCCGCGTCGAAGCCCGGCGCGGAGCATGAGCTGAAGCTGTTCATCGAGTACCCGAGCGGCTCCGGGACGGTGTTCTCCAGCGCCTCGGGGGTGGCCAAGCAGATGTACCAGGACTGCATGAAAGACTTCGGGCGCGGGCTGTCGTCCGGCTTTAAGTACCTGGAGTACGAGAAGAAGCCGGGCTCCGGGGACTGGCGGCTGCTCGGGGACCTGCTGCCGGAGCCGCTGCGCTTCTTTCGGGAGCCGCTGTCCGTAGAGCTGCTACCGCAGCCGCACGCCGACGGCGGCTTCCCGCTGCCGCCAGGACGGGCGGGGGGCTCCCGGCCCGGGCTGAGGAAGAGGAAGGCCTCCCCGGAGCCCGACTCTGCGGACGAGCAGCAGCGGCAGCAGTGGCTCGGGGGCCCGGTCGAGGCCCTCAAGACCCCCCCGGAATCCGCCACCGCCCCGCCGCAGAACGGACAGTCCCCCATGGCCGCGCTCATGTCAGTGGCGGACGCGCTCGGTAACGCGCACTCGCCCGGCAAGGACAGAGACTCCGCCGCGCACTCCAGACACGCGGCCGGCAGCCCGGCGTCCCCGGCCTCAGCCTCCGGCCAAAGGCGCCTCTCCTCCCGCAACGGGGACCTCGGGCTGCCCGCACAGGACCAGGTGCACGCGCAGAGCGTGCCCGACTCCCCCGTGGCCAACAGCGGACCGCTGTGTTGCACCATCTGCCACGAGCGTCTGGAGGACACTCACTTCGTGCAGTGTCCCTCCGTCCCCGGACACAAGTTCTGCTTCCCCTGCTCCCGGGAGAGCATCAAGGCCCAAGGGGCTTCCGGGGAGGTGTACTGCCCCAGTGGGGACAAGTGCCCGCTAGTCGGCTCCAACGTGCCCTGGGCATTTATGCAGGGGGAGATTTCCACCATCCTGGCTGGAGATGTGAAGGTAAAGAAGGAGAGGGACCCCTGAGGAGGAGGTGCTGGAGCCTCAAGCCCAGACTTTGTTTTTTATATTCCCTGGATCACAGCCTAGGTCGAGGTACTTCAGCCTGCCCCCCACAGAGATTCGCTCTAACTTAAACTCAGTCAAATATTCAAACCATGAAGAACAGCAAACTGTTTCAGTCGTTTAGAGTCTGGACTGGTGATCACGTGAAAGCTTTTCTGATTTAACACTTTCCACCTTCCTTTGTCATCGTGTCTGTTTTCGATGTGACGGAGGTCAAAGGTTGAGTTTCAACCTGGCGTCAATAAAATAAATGAGTGTTACTGATCCAAAGCAGCGCTAACACTCTTCAGTTTATACGTCGAGCTGCCTCTAGCTCCGTGTGTGTGCAGTAAGATCATGCATGCTATAGTTTCTGTCCAACACTCAGTCTTCTTTACTGTGAGGCTTAAAATAACCTCAATATTCTGTTAAAATGAGTTCATGTTATTACAGGTGTGTGTGTGTGTGTGTGTGTGTGTGTGTGTGTGTGTGTGTGTGTGTGTGTCATTACACCCATGAGTACAAATGTGTGACCACTGCGCCGGACCGTCAGCCCGTTTCTGCATCTGTAAAGAAAACCTGATAAAAATACGTTGAAGGCTTGAAACGGAGATTATCGTGATGCAGTTTAATAAACGTCTCGGACAAGCAGGCGATTCTTATTTTGAAACAAAGAAATATGTTAAAATTTATAAGAAAAATGTAATCGTCCAAATTATCCAAACTCCGATGTATGACATCAGAGTGATCTTTGGTTCGTCTGGCGTTTAAACTTGTGCGTTTACTTTGTGAATGAGTCGTTTGTGTTTTTGTCTGTTGTTCAGGACGATGTGCTCACAGACTGAAACAGTTTGACTGAAACATGGAACATTACTGACGTTAATCTGTGCATGTTGTGTGGGTCCAGGTGTCCCTCCCGCCGTTGCTCATGTTCGTCTGGAGTTTGGTTAACATACAGTCACAGTTTGTGTCCGAGTCGCCGTCACACTTCTCACAGTGAAACTCACATCAGTTATGTTTGTTTAAAACGGTCGTAAATTCTTCCTGTTTGATAAACGAACCCGTTGACGACCGGGTGGAGACACGCGTGGAGGGGAGGCGGTGCTCACGTTCAGCGTTTATTACCTTTGACTCTTTCTAATTAACGTCGTGGACATCATCAAGCTCGTGATCTCAGAATGACATCAGGCTGTGACTGTTGTGAAGCAAAGGTCTGTTAGCAGCGATGAGACCGGCGGGGAGTTTCAGGGCGTCTTTGTGCACGTTCCCACTGCAGGAAGCGGCCGGTAGGACGCCGTTTCAGGAGGAGAAAGCGCTCACTTACAATCCGTCGCTCCACGTTCCCACTCTGTGGAGCCGCACTCGCCGCAGCTGGAGGGGCTCTTCATGAAGGGTTATTCCAGAAATGCAGCTGAAGCTGTGGAGCACGCTCACAGCAGGTCCATACCTGTGTCAGGTGTCCTCACTGTGAGCGTGCACACACACTCGTTTTGAACGGATCGTCACAACGATCGCCACCGTCCGCTGTGAGCTCACAGAGCCTTTGTTAAGTTATTGCTCGTGGTTTTGGTGCCTTTAACGAGGCGTCGCACAAAGATCAGCTCGGTAACCTTCTCGGCAGTAGACTGTCACTCCTGTGGCACGTCGGCAGAAGCGGGGGTGTTGAGCTTAAGATGATTAGACAATAACTGGCTGTGTGCAGACTTGAACTTTAACCTCAGGCTTGTTGGACGTGCGGATGAAACGGGCGTCATGCTGTTTACAGAGCCGCTCCTCGCCTGAAACAGCTGCAGCATCAGTTCACCTCCTCCAACCCAACATGGCTGAGAGGAGGCGCGGCCGCGTTCGCTCGTGACTCTGATCTCTGCAGCAGCTTTGAGACTCGCTGCAGCCGTGAGCCGTCACCGTTCAGCTGTGCGTGTTTGCTCCTCATAACTCGCTTATAGAAACTTTCTGGGCTTTAAAAAACAAACAAACTTCATAGTTGGATTCGTCCAGCGAATAAATGTTATGTTTCTGTTGCACCTGGATCCACAAAGCAAACGCAAAGATGGAGGTCAGACTGATGAATTCTTCATTTTCAGTCAAGTTAAAACAAGTTAACTCCCAAATGCAGAGAGTTTCTGCTGTGGACAAACTGGTTCCAGTGGTTTGAAGTGAACCAACCAAAAACGCCTCGACTTTGGCCCTGACAGTTGGAAGGTAAAGTCACCTCGAGGAACACATCTGCTGCTCGTTTGCTGGTTTTCTTCTGTTTGAACTGGACAGGAAGTGAGACCCGTGAACACGCTAGCTCTCTGACGGCTGTCGGAGAGACTAAACAGGAAGTTTGTTTCTTCTGCCCGGAAAGCCAACGGTGTCAGAGTATAATTATGCTGACGTTTCACTGCAGATGTAAACGAATAAATCAGCATAAAAACAGACGAGCAGGACGTAGAGTCATGTTTAAACGACCCTTGGAATTGTGTTTCATTTCTACCTTGTGTCATGATCTAAATGTAAAACAGAAAAAAAAACCTTTTGTACTTAAACTGTGTCAGATGTTTTGGGACATCAAAGAGGAAACCGTGCACACGCCGTCTTCCCTCCGTCCAGGTTCCAGCCGAGTTTGGAGCAGACAGCTGAACTTATAAATATTCTACATGTGGATGTTTTAGAAAACGTGTTTAACAAAGAAACGAGCGTGTTGTGTTGTCGTGGAGATGAAGGCGTGGTCAGTGCCGTGGTGTTTAGGAGGTTCAGTGTGAGGCAGCCGGTAGTCACTAACACATGCTCCATTTTTACATTAGAAAGTCGTGTCTGTAAAGAAAACAACAAAAAAAAGCAATTTTTTTTTATTTTTATAGAAATAATTTATTCATATTATCATTTTGAATTTGAATTTAATTTTTCCTTTCTAATATATTTTGTACTGCAATAAGAAGCCCCTCCTCTCTGTTCCTGCCTCACATTAAGGTTCAGCTTGTTTTGTGTTTCTGTTCAGATAAAAATGAAACTAACACATTTGATCTTGTAACGTGCCTTGGAGCTGAGTCGGTTGTAATAAATTCCTTTTCTGTCAAACGTGACGTTTCTTTAATGCCACACTCGACTTTATTTTGAAATTCTGGTGCTGGAATCACTCACGTCCTGTGGCTAAAGGCTTCTTTCAGTAGAAACTGAGTCAGGCTGTGATGGAGCGGCTCACCTGTTTTTCCAGAAGTCCAGCTAAAGTAAAAACGCTGGAGCGTCTCACTTATTGATCTTTACGTCTCCAGGAAGTTGTGTTCGGATCAAATCCGGGCCTCTCAGGGAAAACAGCCACATTTCCACCGTTCGCTGTGGAGCTTAAACACAGCACAGGTATTTTCTGAATTTGTCAGCTCCTGAAATCCTGCACTCAGCGTCTTCAAATGGACGCTTTTATGTTCTTGTAATTCCAACATTTGTATTTGACAAAGATGCAGATTTGATTGACTTGAAGCCAAGAGCGAAACTTTCTCTGCTGTCTATACGTTGATGAAGAAACTCAAAATGTTGAGCCTTACTTTTCATTTTACATTCACTTGAACTGTGACCTTTCCTTCGTCACCAAACGTGATCAGCATTGTAATGAAAGCTCGAGGAACTCGGGCTGTGTTGGACTGTTTGGTGGGCCAGATGTGGCCCCCGAGCCACATGTTGGAGTCACAAATGTTAGAAATGATCATGTGAGAAGGAGCCGAGCGGCACCAAAGTGTAACCAGCAGAAACGCAGATCAGCGTGGTTAGCATTCACACAGCGAGCTGCTGCACTGAGCCAAGGGCACCTTAACCATCACTGTCCCCACACACACACACACACACACACACACCAGGGGTGTTTTTGTTGTTCAAAGAGAAAATCTGCAATGCAGCAAGAAACTACAAGTACAGCGAGTACTGCAGTAATGGTAGTACCGGTACTGCATCAGGAGTTTGTTAACGAGACAGTAAGGACTCTGATTAAAGACACGGCGTCGTATTAAGATCCAGAAACTGCATCTGCTCAGTTCACCTCTGCTGCGCTCTGACTGGCCGCGCAGTGTCTGACAGAGTGTTTTTGTGCGTGCAGCTGCAGCAGCCGAAGCGGCTCAGACAAAGACACCACGCTGCAGGTGTGTGGATTTACTGCGAGCTGCTCTCAAACCTGCGCTCTGAGAGCGAGTCGGGACATCCACAACATCAGCGGCTGCTCTGAATGTTTTCACATTCTGTGGCTGATCGCGGCGTGTGGGGACGACACGGTTGCCCAGAGCTCGAGGGTGTCGCGCTCGCTGTTCTGATCACAGAGGAGGCAGCCTCTCTGCGAGCTATCCTTACTGGATAAAACGTAGATATTGACAAAGTTCACTTGCAGTTGAAAGGTCATAAATTGCAATAACAGGTGATATAGGTGGTTTCATGGGATGTCTGGGGCTCCCTGCCTGAGCTCATTTTTAGAAGCGTCATGTTTATCCTGAACCACAGAAGCATGACAGCATCCGCTCGAAAACTGAAAAGTCTGAAGTCTGGCACAGTGCGGTGAAGAATGCCAGCTTGGATCAGTCTCCATGTTCAGACACAGTTGAGTTAGGCGGAGTGGGCAGAGCCTCCGTCAGTGAGTCGGCGCTCACGTGGGCTGAACGTGCAGAGCTAAATAAAGACATGGAGTCGCAGCGAGGTTTGATTCATCTGTCTGCGCAGCACCGCGGTCGGTTCTCTCCCCCTCCTCTTCGTTCGCTGTAGCCGTGGAGGAGGATGCTGTTGCCATGGTTACCAGCTTCACATTTAAAGACATAATTTATTCAGGAATGTGCAGAGACAAGCGCTGCAGTGATCGGCCGCTCTTTAAACACTGACAGAATCGTAATCGTAGGCGTCAATAACTTCACATTTGTGCCGATAAACAAGCCCCCACCCCTCCCTGCGTGTCACAGCGTTGACTGCATTTAAGACGATGATGTCAGCACTCTTTTTTTTTTTTTTTTTTTTTTTTTAATGTCCATCAGCACTCCCCGCCGGCCCCCCCAACCCCACACACACACCTATGACTGTTTATGGTGTCGACCCTCCCCCACTCGCCCGCTCAGAAGCCTCCGTCTCGCTGTGTTTTTATGTCGCGCGATTGGTCCACTTCAGCTCGTGCTGCAGATTTCATGCAAACTTGATTTAGCTCCACACCTGCAGCGGATCCATCTGGAGTCGGTGGATCCGTATTTTGGAGTCCGGATGCTAAAACGCTTTATGTGGGCCAGATGTCAGCTATGTCATGATATTTGAACCACATCTGGCCCACCTGACATTTTCCACCCGCTGTGTGTCTATTCCACTTCATGTACCCCACTTAGGTTCAGTCAGCATTCAGCCAGCTGTGTGTGGCAGGTCCACATTTAGCCTGTACGGCAGCAAAGGGGGAGGGGGGTCTACGTCCACAAAGTGTCCCTTTTTGGTCCACATTTAACCATAATGGATTTTGTCTCAGGTAGTTCAGCAGTTAAGCCGGGTCTGCCTGCTGAAACTCACCCACAGGGCCTCGTGCCACACATGGGGACTCTCTTTATTTAACATGTTTAAGTATTAGACCCAGACCCCACCACACATGTGGCTCCACATCTGTCCTAGGCAGGTTAGCCCGTTCGGGTCCACATTCAGGCAGCACAGCAGTCCACCTGTGCTCAGCATTAATCATCGAAGGAATGCGGTCCACGTGGGCCTGCACCGATCCGGTTTTAGCTCGTGTGTCGAACACGCAGCGTGCTCGGAGCGCTGAAGGGAAGCACAAGGACAAAGAAAAGGGTGAAGCACAAAGACGCGGCATTAATAGTCATCCGCAGCCGTTACTACGGCGCTCATGAATTATTGCTGGCATGTAAAGGTCTACAGAGAGGAGGAAGGGGAGGCCCGGGCCCCCTCCCCCCGCCCGTTTCCTCCATCAGCATCTCTGCTCGCTGTCACCATGAGAAACCACTGGGGTGTTGCCTAGCAACAGCAGCAGCAGACAGCCTGCAGCAGCTGTTTGTGATAGTTTCTGAGCGATTAAATGACAGAGGGCAAGTTGACAGCGGCGCCCATTTTATCCCCACCCACCGCCACATTTCCAGCTTCAGCGAGCGTCACGACTTTAGCTGAGGGCGTTTGGACCTTCTGAGATGAAGGTCAGACCAGGGGCGATTCTAGGATCAGAGCTTTGGGGGTGCTGAGCACC